GTCGAACGCCCAAAGACACTACAATAATGGGCCGCGAATACGAGGTAGACCGCTTCGACAAAAAACACCTTCGATGGCGGGAGGACGTGTTAGTCGGATCCTAACCCAGCACGTAGAAAAAAAAAGAAACGCAAGACGAACAAACGCCCACCAAACAATGCCGTCTTCAAACCACAGGTAAAAACACACATGCACAACACAACAAAACACAACACAACACACAGACACCACCGCACATGACCCTCACCCCGATCCCCGCGATACACACACCCCACGTCGGCCGCCGGTTCCGACCCCGCTCTTGCCCCCCACTCCCGCTCTCGCCCTCGACCTCCCCTCCCTCTCTGCCAAGTTTAAGGTTCCGACAGCACTCTAACTTGCGCGTTTGTGGCTCCTGGCGATGTTGTGCTCTGGCCTCATCAAGCCGGCCACCTCCAGCTCCTTGCGGATGGCCTCCCTCGGCTTCGACGCCTTAGCCTGGTCCTTCACCGGGCGCCCGGTACGCACTGGAACGGTCTCGAAGTAGTCGCTGCTGATGAGGCCGTCGTCGTCAAAAGCGACCTCGGGCGGAGGAATCGCAGACCCCGTGTTCTCCGTGGGGACGTCCACCTTTCGATCCCGACAGAAGTTGTGCAGGCGAACGACGGCGTTCACCACGTGCTCGAACTTCTCGATGCGAACCTCCATGGGGCGCCAGAGGATGCCCCATCTCCTGACCTGTAGGCCGTCATTGCAAACCAAGACCAAAGGGGAAAAACGTACCATCTTGGCAAACTCAGAGCCCAAACTCAAAATTCAGGCGGCCTGCCTCCTTGTCCCTCCCTCCCGGTTCAACTATCCCAGCAGCAATGCACGTGTGCACCTGTCCTACTTGATTTCAGTCTCTCCCTAGCCGTCTAGCGCCGCGCGAAGGAAGGAGGGTCGAACACAAAACAATATGCACACAAGGGGTATAACAAAAAAGACACTACATGTAGTACTGCTGTAGGGTCCATATGCACTTCCCCGGTTGCTCCCTTCAAACATGAATATGCATTGCCCACATCAAAATGAAAAGATGGTGGCACGGATGCGCCGCGCTCTGTGACAACATCACACCAGACATCACGCACTCCCCCATCGCGAGGATCTTTACCACGAGTTGCCTCTAACATCAGGACGCCAACTCACCCAATTGCATGCGCGGACTCAACTACAACTTTTGCCATGCCCACAACGCTCACCAGAATGCCGTAGGTCTGCTCGATTGCCATCCGGCACTGAGACACGTAGTAGTTGCACGCGTCTTGGCTTGCGGAGAGGCTCGTCCCCGGGAACGGGACGACGACGCGCTCGGACGCCCCATAGGCGGCGTCGCCCACGACAAAGTGGCCTTCGGGCAAGCCCGCCAAGAGCTTGTCGAACCCCGAAAAGTTGAACGCGGTGCGGTCGTTTTGGCTGCCTGGGCAATTCATCATCCAGGCCATGATGCGATACTGGGCGTCGCATACCGCCTGAAGTAGAAGGACAACGTGTGCATGAGCATGTATGTACGTGAAATAACACTCAACCAAAGGCGATTTTTTTCGAAGAGAACCATCGAAGGAGGACGCCACGTCCACATGCCCGCTCAGTTCGGAGAACGGCATGCACGCGCCTCCACAAACTTTACATCACAGCAGTAGTAAAGTAGCACTAAGGCCCATTCCAGCCTGCGCACAAAAATATGCGCCCATGACGCGCCTCAACAACACTGCTACCTACAAAGTGCGCACCCTTTGATGGATGAATCCTGTGCGTTGGGGAGTGGAAAAATACACTTCGTTTGAGCTTGTATCGTGCACAACCGCACCCGGAGGAATGTATGAATACTACTGCTGTACTGAACCGATGTTCTACCCCCGCAGCATATGTAGGTCCGTCGCTGCTTTGCAGGCAAAACGCACCTGGCATCAGGATAGGCCGCCGACCAAGGAAACAATCTACACGTGTATGCACATACACACCTGGAAGTTCATGCCGAAGCCTTTCTTGTGCCCGTTGTAATACAAGTTGGGCTCTGCGACCTCCTTCGCGCTCGGCTTGATCATCCGGACAAACAAGACATCCATTGCTCCCACGCACTTCCGGACGACATCCATAGAGCTGCGGTTGCGGAAAAGCTCGGCGGCTCTGGCAGCATCTTCACCCTCTGGCCACTTGCAGTTCAACTCCGGACAGGCATTCAGGGCGTTGATCACGGTCGACGTTACGTGGTATGCCGTACTCCTCGCGATGACATGGCCGTCCATGCACTCGTAGATGGACCCCCCCGCGAGCCATCGCAACGTCATCGCGACCTGGTCCTCCACCGGGATGGCGCCGTTGCGCAGCAGCCCCATCTGCTGGTTCTTCTGCAGGGCAGGTCGCAGGTGATCTACTAGAACCAACCCTGAAGTCATCGTACTCCATGCGAAAGCGCATCGAGAACGTGTGGTCTTGCAGCATCGGCTTGATGTAGGTCTCGAAAGGCCGCCTCTCTCGCGCGACCAGGGTGCTGCGGCTCCTCTTCGACGGAGCATCGAGCGCTGCGAGGTTGTCCAAAATGGCCAGTGCATCCAACAGGCTCGACACCCTCTTCGTGAAGGAGGCCAGCCCATGGGCACGCTTGACCCTTCTGGTTGGACTGACAGCCATGGCAGGTGGCTCAACTTGACACGTGCCGTGGGGGACCGCTGTGGTGGTGGTTTGGTAGCGGCAATGCGCTGCAAAACGAGGCTGGGGGGCACGTGCAGCGCGAGTGACGATCTGCACCTACCCCATCAAGTTTTCCAATCATGTAGGCGTTTTCTCGGTGACCATCGCTTTCCCGTTAAGACTGCAGGCTCGCCTCCCGGCAAAAATCTGTTTTTGATTTTGATTTTTTTTTCCTGGAAGCAGATTTTTCCGATTTCGGTAAGACAGGCTCTTTGTCTTGCGGATCTAATAAGCCATCAACGAGACTTTCTAGTCACTGGACAAATACGGGCGTACCCGGTATAAGACTCCAGCTCTAGGAGTTATCAACACAAGACTGTTCTGCGCGCTTTTGCGCCCGGTTCAAAAGAGCACAAGTGTGTTTCTCGCTCAAGTGTATCTTAATTCGTTCTTAAGTATTTTCGTCTTTCACTCGTCCATGCTGTGCCGTTTCCGAAATCCCATTTTCCGACGATGCAGGTAGGCCGCGATTGGATCATCGTTTCGGGCTTCTATATCGAGTTCTTCGTCGGGATCTGTATGCTCGTTGCTGTCGTTTGGCTGGTGCTTTTTCGGAGGACGGAGGTCAAGGAGAGCTGGAAGATGCACGCCCGCATCCGCTACTACTTCGGCCTGACCCTCATCGCCACAGGGGTGAATCTAGCTCTCGGCATTTGCGGCACGATCTACGTCGCCGGCGGAAAGAACGAGTAAGTCACGACTGTTTAATCTCATCGGCACCCCTCGGCCTTGCTTACGCCTTTGACAAGTCTCTCGCGACAACACAGCAAGAAGGAAGACCGCCCCTCTCGGTGTCAGTGACATACGAGCACTGTGAAAGCATTTGTTGGGCACCGCCAATAGTGTTCCATTCCGTGACCGTACATGTTTCCACGGGGACGGGGGGGGTTCACGGTTATTAATCCGGGTTTTATAGCCAAGACCAAGACGTTTTAGTACATCATGTCCTTGTTGTGGCAGCATTATCCGAGTACGACTAGGGAATTGAGTGGATTGCGGTTCAGCACAGGCAGCTCAGGGTCACTGACCAGAAAGGATGTCGTTGCGGTGGGGGGGGGGTGTACTCATAGTCGTGCATGCCGTAGTCGTTAGACCATTGACCTCGCATCCCTACAAAGCCGGGACGGAGCACGCCGGGTTCTCACCGGACCAGGCTCTCACATCACCAAGCGCGAAGCGCCGTGAGATATTCGGCGAGTCGCATGAAGGGTGCGCTGCATCCTGCTAAGGGTGTTCGGCATCTTGTGCTTACTTCCTTGCGCATGGATGACGGCTGCTTATGACTTACTTTTTTTTCTGGAGCTTTCACTTCCAGAGACGGTGATAAGCACTCACTGTGTAACTGCCTCGAGGGCGCTTGACGAATTTTATCTCGACGTGATGCGATTCCCCCCTTCGCGCGGAGTGAGGGTTACCGACCCCGCACAAACACCTGGCGGGCGGGTTGTTTTTCAACGTCGTTGCCAAGCGACTTAAGCCCAACCCCGATGGCAAACACCGGGGGGCGGGGGATTTCGGGAAATATTGTCGTGGGGCTGGAGTGGGGAGAGTAATGCTGCTCTTCCAGTATGAAGTTATCAAACCAATTATATCGTTGATGCGATGAGTCGTAGGGATGGGATCATTTCTCCCAATTGAAGGGTTCAGATGTGGCTACTCGCGATCACAGGTACCGGGACTGCCGTGGGTGTGTTGTTGTTGTTGCTTTCCTATCTCAGACTGCGGTCGACAGCTTATGGTAGTGGAGTGACAGGGATCTATTCAAGGTGACACGTTCGATCGAGTTGTTATGGTATACCGTGAGGTTGCGAGTCAGCGCACAGGGGTGCGACCGATTTTCAAAGCGCAATTTCTCCACATCCCAGAAGGATGCGAGCGCCAATTGATATTTCTCAGGACAGCTCTCGATGAGATATTTTCAAAACCGCCCTTTTCGAAAGTGTCAACGTTCTGGTTGTGGAGAAGTTACGCTTTGCAAATCGTTCGCACCCGTGTGCGCTGACTCGCTACCTTACGGTAGTCTGACCTCTTGACCTTGACACGGCAGGCCTACTTCTGCCTCACATGAAAGCCCGTAAGCTCTGATCAACTTCAATACAGTAAAGGTAGAACACACATAACAACATATTCGCCTGATTGAGAGCGAAGTATCTGATTGAGAGCGAGAGCCAAAAAAATTGAAATTTCGGGTCCAGACGCCTCTTGCCATTTCTTGGCAAGTAGGGGACGGGCTATTCCAAGAAGCGGTGCAAATTGAAGGTCTCATCAGCAGCTTCGCGAGCATATGCGTGTCATCGTCATCGGATGCTGCAGCGAGGAGCTAGACAAGTTGCTAGATTTGCCCAGATTGGCTATTTCTGCTCAAACTGTTTCAGGGCGGTATCGCGTCGGGCGGTGGGCTCTGCTGTAGCTTCTGCTCCCCGCTGTAGCTCCACAACGAGAGACTCCCACAGGATGACCAGGGTAGCGGCTTGAAGCTACGGGCTAGCCCTTCAATTCAAGCTACACAGCAAGCTCCACCTCTCAGTGGTAGTCCGGCTACAGCGTATCGCGCAATCTCGCTCTCAATCAGATGCTACGCTCTCAATCAGGCGAATATGTTGTTACTAGCGTTCCGTTCTATATACCCGGTTTGTTGTGTTGCTTTTTGTCATTGTTGTTTCGAGAGTGGAAACATCGCCGACACGTCCAACAACAGCCAACCCCCGTAACCCCCGCCGATCCGCATCCCTCTCGTACCCCGTTCGTCGTATGCATCACAGTGAACGGCTCCTGGTCATTACCTGGGTGTTTTGTTACGTCCACGTCGCCCTCGACACCATCGTGCTGTACGGTGTGCTGGGGACGAGGAGTATTGACGAGCGCGCCACCTCGCTCCGATCCGGGGCCTTCGTCTCTGAAGCGAGTTCTCGACGAGCCCGCTCCTCGGAACAAGCTGCAGCAGCAGCATCAAACACAAATGGTGGCGCCTTGAGTAACACCAGCGGGTTCAGCAATCGGAGCTCGAGCAGCGACCCCGGGCTCTTCTCGAGCGAGACCTCCAAGATAAGGGTGCGAGACCGTGCGGAAAGCCCTCCTACCACCCTGCCTCCTTCGCACTGGGGTTGACCCGGAAGGCTTGGCCTTCATTTATGCGGTAGAGAAGCTGGTGGAAATAGTTTGGGTGAGATTTTGTTGGAGTTGCCTTCCTAGTTTTTTTCGCTCATGATGGACCAATTGGACGGCGTTCAATATCGTTGTCCCTTTTCGCGGTACTGTTTCAGTCTGTCATTGGAAATGCATAATACTTATGTGTTCCTGTCGGTTGTTGGGTGTTGCCCGAATCTCGGTGTATTATGTATGAGTAGTGTTCCTCTGTAGGTTGAAACAATGAGGGCTATTTATTTGACGTTTTGTCGGGTCGTGTCGGAAAGTAGAGGCCAACACGCTATAGTTGAACAGCATGCACGCATGCATGCGTTGATTGCAATAGCACAATGTGTACCGTTCATTCGTGCTGCTCTCACTCCAGGTGATCGATACTGTGACGATTATCGTTTTTTATCTTGTGGGCTTGTTCCGTCTCGATAATCCCATTGCCGTACTTTCGTGTTGCGAAGACGTGCAATATTGTGGTGTAGATATTCTCCCGTTGGTGACACGTTGGCCCTGGAAGCTTGAGTCGCCTGGAGAGTGGGTGGGTCTGTCCCCAACGGTTGGTAGCGGCAAGAGGCCTTGTCTCCAATAATCAGCACTTGGCCCTGTAGTGCTTTGTTTGATAGCTTCATGTGTCAGAAAATGTAGCAGCCATTTTGGCCGGCTGGTCAATATCGTCCTGGTTCGTGTTGTAAGATGAAATATCACTAGCGTCTTGAACGATAACCTGCTACTTCTCGTATGGAATCGTGGTGTACGGTACAAGTCGAATTCCCCCGGCAAGCTGTCTTTGTGGGTGTGTCTTGTGCTTTGCCTCGATTTGCTCTTCGCTGTTGCGTTGCTCGATTACGACGCTTGCGTTGCATTCGCTTTCGCCTCGGCAATGCTCGTTATTGCTTGGCATCGAGTTTAAGGCTCTTTCTCGGGGTAATTTCTCACGTTTTTTTTCGGTTCTCGCACGCACACATTGATCTGACTATTTTGTTCAGGTACATAGGCAAGGTGTTTGTTTTGCTATCCCACGTTGTTTCATCCAACTAGAGCACGTAGGCAGGCTTGGTAGATCGGCGTCTTCTCTGTTCGTAATGTAGACAGCAGTCAGTCGCGAAAATTAGAGCCGTTTACTGCCAGAATTTGTTCATTCTTTGAAACGCAGCAGCGCCGTCTTTCATTCGTTTTCACGCCGACTTGTGCGTTTGCTACTAACGTCTGCATTGGAAGGGGTCTTTCGGGCAGTCAGTTGTCGTTAGGTTAGATTTAAGTGAAGGGAGAGTGTTTCATTCAGTTATCGTAGACAAGATGTTAGTGAAAGAAGGGTGTTTTATTGTATCTACTGTAGTAGGGTTGGGATGTTTGTACTCGGGATGGATGTGCTTTGCGATATCTATCCGGTCGTGATCGAGGTAAATAAGCTTCGGGTCCAATGGTCTTACGGCTATGACTCCATCACAAGTATTTCAGTATTAAATATTGTGATTTTATACATGATAGATATTTCTCACGGACGACTTTCATGCTGTGTGGGGGTCCTGGATGGTGGAGCTGTAGCTAGGATCCGGCGCTGTTTGTCTAGTCTAACGAGAAACTTGCTCCCGACATGTTTCAATCCATTGCAATGCACGCGAAGCTTTGAAAACATACCTCTGGTGCGTCCGACCCAAACAAGCGCCGAGGCCTAGAGTGCGGGGAGGTCCCTCCGGACGGAGGGTGAGCGAGTGAGTGGGTGAGTGAGCGGGTGAGTGAGTGCAGATTTTTCACAGTAAATGCCATAAGACAAATGCATATTCCGGCCGACGTGCCCACATCATCAGCCACTGATAGCCTCTCGATGGCGTCAACACTTTGTATTGGCTCACTGGCCGCGACGTACGACGACGGTGGTGGTGTGCGCGCTTGCCTGCGATGATGATCGTATGATCGTGAAGGCGAGATTGCGCGGTGAATGAATGAATGAATGAATGAACAATGTAAAACAAGACAAGGGTACCGTAAATAATCTATCAGACCCCAAAAAAAATCCCTTTGAACATCACAAAAAAACGTCGTCACCTACCTCCATGCATATCCCCGCTGTGTGAGATTCAGGAGCGAGTAGTCGATAGTTGTTTGTTGTTGTTTTTCTCCCATCATTGGACTTTGTCGTCTGCCCCTCTGGCCCCTATCCTCCACTTCTACTAGCTAGACGACCCAACCGGGGTCACGTAGGAGGGGGGGGTTGGACCCCCTCCTGCGGTTCATGCCTGAGGTATTTTTATCGCGAGAAGGGTACAGCAATCCCTTCCGTCGCGACCTACGAAGTCGATTATGGTTTACTAACAAACGAGTTTTGCAGCGCGTCGCTTTCATCCTAGACCAGGATATATTTAGTGAGAAAACAACTCTCTCTATCGGGACTCGAACCCATGACCTGGCCCTTAGCAGGCTGCGAGGCTACCCACTAGACCACCGGGGCGACCGGTGTGTCGTTTCGTTGTTTTTCTATTTCTTCGCAGAAGTCTTAGCGTGCTTTAAATTCGCCGAGCCAGCCACTCCCTGGGCTAAAAAACGCGCTGCAAAAT